GTTTTTTTTTTTTTTTTTTTTTTTTTGATGCTAGGAATGAAATCCAGAGCCTTCTGCATATTTGGCAAGCACTCTACTACTGTGCTATACCTTCAGCACACTTCAGGAATTTTTCCCCCAATACCTAGTCTATTGCTGTAGCATCACAGATCTGCTTTTTGCTAGAGTCCTTGTTGTTTTCTTATAGGAAGTACTTTGAATCACTCAGTTTTACATCATATTGATTAGAGCAGCTACATTTTTAATAAGTAACTGGTAAAAATAACTGGTTAAAAAATTAGAGGCTGAGTGTGGTGGTACACACTTGTAATTCCAGCACTTGGGAGTCAGAGGCAGGAGGATTGTGAATTCCAGGCCAGCCTGGGCTACATAGAGAATTAAAGGCCAACCTTGGTTGTATAGTGAGACCTGTCTCAAAAAAAAAAAAAAATTAGAACAGAACAAGCCATTGTAGATAATACTTTACTGACTTATTAATGATGTAGTAATGTTTCCTGAACTGGAGGAAAATTTAAAAAAAGAAAAAGCAAAAACAAAAAACCTACCAGTGCGTCTTTCCTCATTGTTTTGTGTGACCAGGATTTGAGCTCAGGGCTTCAAGCTTGCAAAGCATGCCCTCTACTGCTTGAGCCACACTTTCAGACCATGTTGCTCTGGTTATTTTAGAGATGGAGTCTCGTGAACTCTTTGTCTGCGCTGACCTTGAACCTCGATCCTTCTGATCTCAGACTCCCAAGTAGCTAGGATTACAGGCGTGATCCACCAGCACTCAGCTTGTAATTCCATTTCTATATGAATGTGTGTAGTACACAACCTTTAGTTATGGTCTCTGTGAGTGTCCTTTTCTCCCCAGAGTTCCAGTGTCTGCTCTGTTTATCATTCACTGTTTGGCCTTGGGCACAATCTGTTTCCTCATTACAAAATGTGGGAATGGAATGACTTGGTATCTGAAGGGCCTATCAGTCTTGAGGTTCTGTGTACCTGGGTGCTCAGTAAATTGCTTTCTTCTAGATAATTATTCTTATTTCATAGGATAGAGAACTAACCATTTTTTCAATTTTAAATGAAGATAACATACTAATTAATATAACTTCTTTTTTAAAATCTTTAAGATTTTAATTGACATAATAATTGTTCATAAACATGGGCACAATAATATTTTAATACTTGTGGACAATGTGTCATGATCAGATCAGAATAATTGGCATATCTGTAACCTCAAACATACATCATTTGTGTTGGGAACATTCAAAATCCTCTATTCTGGCTATTTTGAAACAGTCAACAAATGGTTGTTAACCATAATTATCCTACTGTTCTGAAGAGCATCAGAAGTTATTCCTCCTATCCTATGATCCCCCTGTGTCTTTTAACCATCCTTGTCCCAGTCCCCCTGTCTTCTATACTTCCCAGCCTTTGAAAACACTATTCTCTACTTCTTAATACTTTTATCTAATGGCACTCACATTTTAATTTAATTCAGGTTTACAAATGGTAAACCTGATGATAGTGCTTTAGTGACCTCACAGTCATGTGATGCACCTAACAAGTAAACATTTACACATCAATGTGATGACTACTCTCATGAAGAGACTGTGACTTGAGTGGAACCTAGTGGGTTATTGGGCTCAGGATAGGAGTTGGAGGGGTTTGTGATTAAGCCCTTAAAGGCAGTAACTCCAAGTATATGTTCTTAGAATTCTGAGCATCAGATTCTTAAGCTGCAGTTGCATCTAATTCCATCTGTTCAGAAGCTTTTGGTTTCGTTGTTGGAAAAAGAGAGAAAATATGTATATGTTGTAACAAATTAAGGATAACAATGGAGAGGTTCTGTTGTGAAACAATTTTACTTCTTTACAGACAGATCCAGTTGAGTATGTGGAAAACATGTGTGAAAACATGCAACTGTACCCACTGCAGGACTTTCTTACTGGAGACCAGCTCCTTTTTGAATATAAACCAGAAGTAAGAAGATTTCCACTTTTAAAACTTCCTTTTAGAGAAAGGAGGGTGAAAAGTCCACAGATGTACTGTGAGAATGGAGAAAGCTTGATTATATTAGGCAGGATATTTGTTTAAACAGAAGAAATATCAATAGTTTTATGGCTAATTCTCCTGATTCTTTTTTAATATAAAAGGAGAAAATCAACTCATACTATTTTTACAGTTTCTTGTGTGTTGAAAATGTTAAGGCAGTTTCTAAGAATTATGTGGCTTAATTCCTAAGCATACTTAGATTTCTTTAGCTTACCTTTTAATTTGGTTGGAAACTCTGGACAATTTTTAATCATTTGAAAATATTTGTGAGAAAAAAATGTAGGATTCCCTAAATTTGAAGCATATAACTTACAGAAAATATCATATACAAATATATAGTCAGGGTCATTCTTCCATTACTGGGGAATAAGTCACCTTGCTTCATATAGAGTAGCATTTGTCAACCCCAGGAGATGGTTTGCTTTCTAGGGGATATACTAGTATCTGAAGACATTTTGGTTGTAACAGCTAAGAGATAGGCTGTGGATTGCTCCTGGGATCTGGTGGGTAGAAGCCTGACGTGCTGCTAACCATCTTACAGTATAGAAGATAGTACCCTCCAAGAAAGAATTCTCTGGCATAAGATGTTACTAGTCTTCAGATTGAGAAACTTTGGTAAAGGGCATTTATTCCCAAACTACTAATTTTAAAGAAGATAGGGAAAGGTAAAGGAGGAAGTAAAAAACTACACATTCTTGCCATCTCTCTAGAGTGGTTATGTTCAGGGACCTATGTGTTTTTTTCTAAACCACCATTTTGATTTTTTTTTTTCCCTCAAAGAAATGGTGTTTAAATGGTAGAATTCCAAACCAACCTGCATAATCCTGTTTAGTCCTTAATAATAATAATAATAATCCTGAAGGATTATTGAAGGATGTCTATATTAGCATCATCTTACTGATTTCTTGGGTCTGAGATGGTATAAAACATAATCTTTTAAGAGCATATTCTTTGGAATCATTATAAATTTGGTTGGAACTCTATTTTTACCACTTTTAGCTGTGTGTTCTATGTTAATTATATACCCTTTAACCTGAGCATTACTTAGTCTTTTACCTCTAAAACCAAGTATTGCTTTCTGTAAAATAGATATACTTTGCAACTGTTTTTAGGATTGAATGAAATAGCATATGCTAACTGCTCCTTAGCACATAGTAAAAGCTTAGTAAATGATATTTTTATGGCTAGTGCTGTTAGTAAATGGGATTTGAGATAAGCACTGCTTTTTAAAGCCTTATCAAGAAGCATATTTAATATTTGTCAATTACATACCTCAATAAAACTAAAAAAGTTTTGAAACACTAATAAACTAATGGGGCTTTGTGAATTAGGGATTTATAGACTGTAGATAGTTTATTGAGTATCAAGATGCTAGGATCTGCAAGGTATCTAACAGTGTGGCTTTATCTTTTTAATGGAAATGTATTAGGTTAAAATTGTTACTGTGTGTGTGTCTCCCTTCCTTTATTCCCCCCACTCCCTCTTTATTAGGTCATTGCTGAAGCCCTTAATCAGCTAGTTCCTCAAAAAGCAAATCTTGTTCTACTGTCTGGTGCTAATGAGGGAAAATGTGACCTCAAGGAGAAGTGGTTTGGGACTCAGTATAGCATAGAAGGTAAAATGTTTTAGCAGTTGTTCTTTATTTAAGTATATCTGACTCAACCTGGGAATTCTATTTTTAATAACTTATCTGATGGTTCTTATAGGAAGAAAAGTGTAATTTTTTAAAAGTTCATTTTCAGTTGAAAATTACTTATTGCAAGACATTGTTTTTCTCCTATGTTTATACTATTAGTTAGTGAAAAAATTCTGTTGTTTTGGTATTTAGTTATAGGCACATGCCTATAACCCCAGTACTTAGGAAGCAGAGGCAGAAGGATTAAGAGTTCAAGACCATCCTAGGCTATACAGCAAGACCCTATGAAAAATATCAAAAAACAAAAGCAAAACAGATTTTGATTCAGTGGGTCTATGTGGGGCTTGAGATTCAGCTTTTTTTTTTTTTTTGGTGATACTGGGGCATGAATTCAGGGCCTTGTGCTTGCTAAGCTACACTCCCAGCTCAAGATCCTGCCTTTCTCACAGTATCCCAGGTGACACTGGTGCTGTTGAACCACACTTTGTATAGTGAGATTCCAGATTGCCTGGATACATCAGAAACTGTTTACCTGAAAAGGAGAATTTGTGAAAGCCAGTGGATGGTTTGTCGTTTAGAGAATTCTGAACATTGCATTGCTTGTTGTGTCAATTTGTTTTTCTTCTTTATAGATGTTGAAAACATTTGGGCTGAATCATGGAAGAGTAATTTCAAATTAAATCCAGATCTTCATCTTCCAGCTGAAAACAAGTATATAGGTCAGTAAAATAGAAATCATTATACATCATCTATCCATGTACTAATAAAATGAGCCTGTATAGTACATTGTGTTTTACAAATTACCTACCATATGTATTCATATTTTAGAATCCCAGCAGTATTCTGGGGTAGCCATTACTATTTTCTTACTTTTCCAAAAGAAAACACAAATTCTAAAAAGCAAAGTGACTTGTCCAAGAGTATTTAGTTGGTGAATGGAAAAACCAAGACTTAAACATAGATCTTAGTACTTTGAAGTTTTTGATTTTTCTTGTACATCATAGTCAATTCTTTCATAGGAAGAAGTTGTCATTATCTTTTGAGATAATGGTTTTTCAGACTGCGAGTTGTCACCCATTAGAAAGTTGTGAAGTCAATGTAATGTGTTGTGAGCTGTGAAGGCATTAAAAAATCAGTTAGAATGAAAAACAACAAATGTTCCATTGCATATAGAAAAGGTGTTTTTCAAAAACTTGTTCTAGATAAGTATGTGTATATCTGTTTACTAGTTTGCTTTTAGCAAATATATTTCTGTTAACAGTAAACAAATTTAAGGGCTGGAGGAGTGGCTCAAGAGTTAGAATGCCTGTCTAGCAACTGCAAGGCCCTGAGTTCAAACTCCAGCACCATCTACCCTTCACCCTGCCCCCCCAAAAAATTGAAAGCTAGGTCAAAGGTTTTACAGTTGTTTGTAACTGTAATTTACTGAGAACACAGTGTTTCTCTTTAATTCCACTCATACATACATATCTAAAACAATTGGAAAAAGGCACTCAAGTACATGGGCTTACATGTTCATAGCAGCACTGTGCATAGCCAAAAGATAAATAGAGAAAATTGTGGTATATACATACTTTGAATATTATTCAGTCATAAAATATTTTAAAGTGGATGAACCTTTAAAATACCATGCCATGATATGAGTCCATTTATATGAAATATCCAAAATAAGTAAATCTATACAGACAGAACACAGGTTGATGGTTCCTCAGGGATTGAGGGGAGTAGATGGGTAATGGGGAGCAGCTCCCTTAGTAGGTATGTAGTTTCCTTTTGTGGTGATAAAAATGATTTGAAAATAGATAAAAGTGATTGTTGTACCACATTGTGAGTGTATTGATGCCCCTGAATTAGTCACTTTTTAGCGGTTAATTTTAAATCGTGATTCTCATCTCAATTAGAAGAAAAAAGCTTTTTTTTTAATTAAAGAAAGTCTTCTGCATTTTGGATTGTTCAGTTTTACATATTCAACTTTAAATGTTCTCCCAACTTAGATGTTTTTAATAAGTATAGCAACTACTACTTTAATTTGCAGTTTTCTTTAAATTAGCTATTTCTCAGCTACATGTTGATAAAACAATTTGTTTTCATTGCTGAAATAACAAGTTTGGCTTTGTTTGAGTAGAACTATGTATTAACCCTTCAAATGTCCATAGGGTTCATAAAAGAAATTCTCATTCAAGAAATTCATTCATAAATTGAATTGTATAAAAATCCATCTCAAAGTTAAAATTGTTTGAGAAAGAGAATAAAGGAGAATGTGTAGAGATCAGAATCAACTCTTGGGAAATTACAGATCTTCAGAGTTCATTTAGTTTAAGGCCAAGTATATGTTGTACTCCAGTATTTGAATTTTCTGGCTTATTTTAGCCACACAGAAAACTTACTTAAGACTTCTGAAACTAGGAACTGATTGCAGGGAATTCTGTTAAAATAACTAAACAAATTATTACTTTTTTCTTTTGTTAGCCACTGACTTTACATTGAAGGCTTTTGATTGCCCAGAAACAGAATACCCTGTTAAAATTGTGAATACTCCACAAGGTTGCCTGTGGTATAAGAAAGACAACAAGTTCAAAATCCCTAAAGGTAATGTGCTATCCTCCCTAAAAGGAGTGGAATGATTAAAACAAATCTTCCTGTGTCACTTGTTTACCTCCTTTTCCTCTTCATTTTTCCTTTGAAGACTTATGTATCAAATTCACATTGTAGTCCAGTGCTGTCACTGTAGTCCATGAAGATACTCTAGTTTCTAAGATATAAAAATTCTAGTTTAGAAAGTGGTTTTAGATATTTTCTTTCAGATGAATGAAAGCAGAACCAAGAATCTGGTCACCTTAACTAGTAGGATGCATTATTTGAACATTATTTTTAAAAAGAGATGGAATAAAAATATATGAAGAAATAGATAGATAGCATAATCAAGCATTACAAATGTAAAATCTTTCTCCATCTACCTCCCTCTGCCATTTTTGCTTTCCAGCACAAAGGAAGCATAGTGTAGAGCCAAACAGACCTTAAAAGTTCTTGTCTTTAAGAACTGTATTGCTCTTCTATTGTGTATTCTTATGCATAGCATTGAAACTTACTGAAAAAAGTTGGAGTGCTGTTGGATGCCATTTTGCCCATGTCCCATACCTCACACATAGCTACAAGTTGTGGCTCTGTGGAGGATTCTTGAGTTTGTTGAGAAGATATTTCCACAATTTTTATTTCCCTCTTGTCTCCTTTCCTCCTTTCTCCTTCCCTCCCTGGACCTCATGAGTATGAACCATGTGCTATGTCCCTAACCTGCCACAATTTTTTTTTGGAGACAGTCATTATTTAGCCCAGTCTGGCTTTGAATTTGTGTCCTCTTGTCTTGGCCTCCCAGGGTTAAGGTGTGCATCACTACACCTAATATTTTAATTTTTCTTGAATGGTTTATAAGAATTTCCAAAAATGTTACATATAGCCTCCTTAGAAAAGGGATCTGCTGGCTGTGTGTGGTGGCATATGCCTGTAATCCCAGCTACTCGAGAGGTGAAAGCAGGAGGACTGAGAGTTCAAGACAACCCTGGGCAAAGGTAGCAGTGAGACCCTGACTCAAAAATGAAGAAAAGGGCTGGGGCATGCTAAGGCCCTGAGTTCAAATCCCAGCACAACATACACACACACACATACACACAGAGTAAGAAAGTAAAAGGCTTTACTACATAGTGTTTTCTGTGAACATGGAGATTGTTCCTTTAATGTTCTTGACATGTATACCTCTGTAAATATTTTCCCCTTTAGGCACACTTTATTTGGAATGGTAAATATTACTCTTAAGAATAAAAATGTAGCCGGGTGCTGCTGGCTCACTTCTGTAATCCCAGCTTCTTGAGAAGCAGAGATCAGGAGGATACAGTTTGAAGCCAGCCCGGGAAAGCAGTTCAAGAGACCCTCTCTTGAAAAAACCCAACATAAAAAAGCACTGGTGGAGTGACTCAAGTGGTAGAGTACCTGCCTAGTAACCATGAGGCCCTGAGTTCAAACCATAGTACCGCTCAAAATAATATCATTAGAATTTAAGAACTGATAGTTTTTGTAGAGTTTAAAAAACACATGAGGTGAAAATGGATGTCTAAAATATTTAATGTATTTTTATATTTTACCTAGTCTTTTTTTTGTTTCAGCCTATATACGTTTCCATCTGATCTCACCTTTGATACAGAAGTCTGCAGCAAAGTAAGTAATTGTCCTGTTTTTTGGAGAACATACATATTTAAAATTATTGGAAAGCTGTTTTTTGTTTCAGTCTGAATCATTCCATCATTTCCTCTATCAGTACTTGAGCTGTATTGCCAATCTGTGTATTTATTCTGTACTCTGAACAATTATTTGTGTTGATACTAAACAATGTGGGGTACATAGGTTTAGGTTACCGTCTTAAAAAAAAAAAAAATCCAAGAGCTGGGATGTAACTCAGTGAAGAGTACTTGGCTAGCATGCACAAGGCTCTGGGTTCTATCCCAGCAATGGAAAAAAAAAAAAAAAAGATAAAATCTGTAATGGACAGTTAAGGGAATTACCAGAGAGAGAATTGTGAGCTCACCAAACAAAGATTTCAGTGTAGACTTTGTCTTTATCAAATGAATGTAAAGGAACAAATTATAGTTAAAGTTTGAGCGGAAGAGCCTGGCATTGTCCCTCCACATCTGGTTGTTGCAGTTTCCATTCCTTTTATTGAGCCTACATTTTCATAAATTTTTCAGCAGGTAAATGGTGGATACTTTTGCTTCATGGTTAAGACAGAATTTATGCCATCTATATAGGCATTTGGCTTGTCTGTTTTCTTCTGTCTTTTTTCCATGATTGTATCTACTGCCTTGTCTTGACTTACTAGAAAAAAAACAACGAAAATAAATGTTTTGTGGTTTATTTAGAAACAGTGTAGAAAAGATTGCTGTTATTTTTAGTTAGGAAAATCAATTTTGTATAGTTTATTTCAATCTAAATGAAATGTAACTTTTCCTAAAAAAGTGGAATTGTAGCACCCTTATGTAAAACCGTCTGATAGTGTATGCTAGTCATTGGGAAAGTGCCTTAAAATTCGGTCTTCACCATAGACCAGGTGAAGGTCTATGGTGAGGACTGGTGAAATTAACCAGGAGCTAACCCTACTCTACATTGAGGACTGACCAGTCTGTTGATCCTGTGCATAAAGACTGGTAAGGAATTTAATTATACTTTGTTCTTAGCAAATTGCTCATATATTTATATAGATAGCTGTACTGTGGGAGATCAAAAAGACTAAAATTTGCTAGAATCATAGAAAGTGATAAGGAAATGTTACTGCAGTTCTTTTTCATTGCCACTTAACTGTAAAATATAATCTTAAAGTGACAATAGTACTAAAATTTATTAATATCCACTCTAAAAAATGCATTACCAACCTCCCTTCCCTCATATTTTTAAATTTGTCAGACAGCTTAAGCCTGGAGGGTACAAAATCTTGAGATCAATTGTCTCTGGTGCACTATACATACTATTATTTTCTATGTGTACATGACATGCAAAAGATTGGGAGGCAGTGCTAAAGGTAGGACTTCTGTAATACACTTGTGAAACTGAGTCCTGAGTAAGCTATATTTACCTTTGAACCAAATTAGTATACAGTTGTACATTTTGGAGTAGAGAGTTAACACCTTACTAAAAGTGAAATTTCTTACCTAAATTGAAGCAAATCTATTTATTCGTGACTTTCTTGCCAACTGATGATGTGGTTTGTGTTTTGTACTTCTCAGTGTGGTCCTCTTTGATATCTTTGTCAATATCCTTACCCATAACCTTGCGGAACCAGCTTATGAAGCTGATGTGGCACAGCTTGAGTATAAACTTGTAGCTGGAGAGCATGGTTTAGTTATTCGAGTGAAAGGATTCAACCACAAACTACCTGTAAGTACATATACTCTGTTTTCCTCATAGGGACCCTTAAAATACCATATTTACATTTCTTGCCCTATAACACCAAGCGTAGAGGCTTGTGCCTGGGGTGCTGTACATGGAAGAAGTGTTTATTAATGTAGAGTACTGATGTAGAGTATCATGAGTTTTCCTGGCTCATGCAGCTATTCTAACTTTGACTATATAACAAGATTTATAGATTTTTTTTTCCTTTCTCATCTTTTTTTAATTTTAATTTTATCATTTTTACATTTACTCACATGTGTATACATTATTTGGGCCACCTTCCCTCTCCACCCCCCTGGATATTTTATTAATTGTGAGCAATGTATATAATAAAGCCTGTGATTTAAGTTTGATCTCACTTCTCTTTGCTGTCAGTTTCTCTGTAGCCAACACTAGTATTTAGATCTAGTTTGAACTAAACGTCTTACCCCTCAGCAATAACAATAACAAATTACAAGGACCTAGCACATTGCCTGTTATAGAGTAGAACTCAAATATTTGTGCCTTTTCTTCCTCTTGCACTTTTTCCCATCATTTCAAGTGTATGTGTCTTGTTTTCTCCTCTTAAGTTTATGAGCCTTTTCGAAACAGGGTCTTATATCATGTCAGTAATCTTTTGATAAGGAATGTGTTCCAGTGTCACTTTGTCAAAAATGATAAGCAAATGAAAAAAAGATACATGAGATGCTAGCTAAGAGAGTGGAGATCATTAAATACCAGGTAAAATAATGTATTAATGTACCCAACAACAAATTGTACATCTTGGTTTCTTAGGTAAAATATATATTAGGGTTCATACAAGAAAAATTCTAGAGGAAAGAACCTAGAGGTGTCACCCTCCATCTTGGGAGAAATCCTGGAGAAGAGTGTAACTCCCCTTTATACTCTGTGCCTCTGTCTCCCTGGGAACAAAGATTTGTTTTAGGAGGAGGTACCATGGTATGTTTTGTTTGTCTCCCTTCAAGGCCTAAATATGTAGCTTAAGATCCAAACAGATTAAAGCCTAATACAGCGTTTGTCATTTGGGAAGCATGTTTTGGAATAATCTGGAAAGCTTTATAAAAATTCAAACCATAGAAAAGCATTTGATACTCCTCATTTTTGAAGCTTACTTACTCTTAATACTAAAAATGATGTACAGAACATACATATTTATGTGTAGAAAACAAGAGATTGAGTTTTACCTATAGACTATAGATGCAAACTTCCTAAAAATTTTGAAGTTTAAATTCATTAATATAGCAAAAAGAATAATGCACCTTAACACCGAGTACCAGGAATGCAAGGGCTAATACAGTATTAGGAAGTCGATGAACATAATTCGTAACATTAATCAAAGAAGAACTGGGCGCCAGTGGTCCATGCCTATAATCCTAGCTACATAGGAGGCAAGAGAGCAGGATTTTTTGGTTTGAAGCCAGCCCCGGGCAAATAGTTCATGAGACCCCTATCTCGAAAAACCTATCATACAAAAGGACTAGTGGAGTGGCTCAAGGTTGTAGGCCCTGAGTTCAAACCCCAGTACCACAAAAAAAAACCCCAAAAAGACACTATGTAAGTAGTGATAAATACCAAAAATTTAATAGATGACCTTTCTAATAAACAGGAATGGAGGAAAATTATTAAACACAGTAAAAACAAAGTCTTTTGGACATTTAAAAATCAGGAACAACTCAAGAATAACCCATGATCTTCTATTATCCAGCATTGTCTTAGAGGTTCTAGCTACTACAATGAAATGAAAAAATGAAATAAAAACTGCTTTTGGAAAAGGAAACTATTTTCCTTTGCAGATGATATGATTATATTTGTAGAAAACTTAACATGCTACTACAATTAAAAACGAATTTGGTATGATATGATGGGCCATGAGATCAGTGTTTGAAAACCAATTGTTTTTTTTTCCTATATTAGCATTAATCTCAGAAATGGATGGAAGTAAATACTCCACTTACATTATTGAGAAAAATAATAAATAATATAAATAATAAATAATAATAAAATGCCTAGGAATAAATAGGAAAAATATAGGACCTATCAGAAGAAAACTGTTTCTGGATAAGACAGCTTGATATAAAATTGTCTTTGCTTTCAAAATATATACATAAATATAATGTCCAACTGACTAAAGTCACATTTTGGAGTGGTGGAGATGCTGGATAAAGTTATTTTTAAGGACATTTGTAAGTAAAGAATGTTTGTGAATACCCAGTAAAATGATTTAAAAAAATATCAAGAATCATCACTCCAGCTTTGACACATGTTGAGGATTTTGGCCCCTGAAGATTCTTTGAGTCATTAGTACTTCTTTAATGTCCCCTTCAATGCCTAGTACAATTCTGAGCCTCTGGTAAAAACCAAAGAGAAAGATTTTCCCTTTCTAACAGTGCATTTCCATGCTTTGTCACTTAAAGTGCTTCTTTGTTTTCCTTTTAGCTATTATTTCAGCTCATTATTGACTACTTGGCCGAGTTCAATTCCACACCAGCTGTCTTTACAATGATAACCGAGCAGTTAAAGAAGACCTACTTTAACATCCTCATCAAGCCTGAGACTCTGGCTAAGTAGGTTGAGGGCCTAAATGTGTTTGTCTTCTTGGGGGGTAGTGTGGTGAGCAGCTGAATTAAATTGCATAACATGTCACTTCCCTGGCAACTTTTAACTATCCAGAATTCAACCAAGGTTCCAGAAGAGAGGAAGAAGGCAGATGAATAGTGTATATTCTAATACTTAAGCATTCTGCTAATAGGCAACCCCCACTTTGGCCTTCTTTCAAAGCCTGTTCTTACTTTAGTACAGGCTAATAACAGCTTAAATATAGATTCCTTTGCATGAATCAGAGAAAAGAACCCATTGAGGTACCCTCTATTAGCAGGTGGAGTCTTTGTGGGAAGGATAGAAAAGTCCCCTTTGAGCAGACAAAGCCCTTTGTCCTCATGGCTTTCAAGTCCCTTTTGACCTCCTTGCTGGGGATCTGTAAATGGTGAACAAACAATATAACCTATACACAGGCTTTGCTTTTCACAGGGTTATAATGAGCCCATAAACTAATAGAATTAGAAAGTAAGGTATAAGGGGTTAAGTGTGATCTCATGTAATAACTGATAATCTGCTCACAAGAAGTTGTATTTTGTTGGAAAGAAACATTGTATTTATTAACTTTTGATTAGCCCTGAGTATCAAATAACTCCTGAATACTCCTTTATTTATAAAGGAAATAAGTACTACCTTATTAGGGCTGGAGGTGTGACTCAAGTAGTAGAGTACCTGCCTTGTAAGTATGAAGCCCTTAGTTCAAGTCCAATACTGCAAAAACAAAAACTACTTTATTAACAGACTGCTTCTTTAAAATTCAGTAATTTTAATTTTTTAAATTTATTGAAGTGTGGCAGAATAATAATACATCTCCTGTTTATTGAAGATTTATGTGGCAGATTTGTTCAAATAGTTTAATATATATTTAATTCTCACCAAAACCCTATGAATGGTAGGCGTTATTTATTGTCCTTGTTTTATAAACTATGAAGAAATTGAGTTACAGATATTAAGAACTTGCCAAGATCGAATAGCTTACTGGTGAGGGGTGGGGTGCAGTTTGGGGATGTGTCTGATTGGATCCAGATCAGTTTAGTATGATTCCGGACTAGAGCCATTACCTAGACAGCCATTGCTGTCACTGCAATAACAGCTATCCATAGTAAGTGGTCTTATCCATAGTAAGTGGTCTTCAGTAATTAATAAGATGTTACTGAGGTTTCAAACCAAAATAATAATAATTTTAAATTGGTATATGACTGGATAAATTTGACTTATCTGGCAACTTACATTATTTTACCAAAGCAGGTGAGTGCATTGTTGTACTGGTAAGTATAAATCTGTTTAAAAGTTAGTGCATACAATTTGAAATGCCTTTTGATAGTTATGATGACATTGTTTCTCCATCTTAAGTTGTGATAGGAATTATCTCTCTTTAGAAACACATAATTTACAGAAACTTAACCAAGTGTTTCTTGTGACAAAATTTTGTTGTTTTTAATTTTATTTTCCACCTGCCCTTTATATAGAGATGTGCGGCTTTTAATCCTGGAATATGCCCGTTGGTCTATGATTGACAAGTACCGGGCTTTGATGGATGGCCTTTCCCTTGAGTCTCTGCTGAGTTTTGTCAAAGAGTTCAAATCCCAACTCTTTGTTGAGGGCCTAGTGCAAGGGAATGTCACAAGCACGGTGAGTGTGAGGTGCTCTGGGAGTGTGTGCTGGGCCTGAATTCGGTTGTGGACTCTGGAATTACATTAGTTCCTCCCTAAAGGGGAAGCTTTGGTTTTTGCAGGCCAGCATTATCATATACTGATTAGGAATTATATACGGATTAGGAGGGCTCCTGACTCTGATCCTGGGCAACTTTCTTTTTAGGAAGAAGACTGTTTATGACTTTGAGTGAAATAGGGTTGGCATATTTGTGCTTTTGGTTAAGTATGGTGAAGATTGTATATGGAAACCATAAATACTTTAGAGATTAGTGGGAGGAAGGATGGTAAGGGTTGTATACATAATACATACATATAGCCAGAACCTGTATGTCAAGCTTTGTCAAGCTAAGGGGAAATGAAATGATTCCACTTATATGAGATATCTAAAATAGTCAGATTCACAGAAACAAAGTAGAATGGTAGTTTCCAAGGGCTGTTGGGGATTGGTGGGGGGTAGGGAATGGGAGGAAGAAAGGATTTGTTAATGGTTATAGAATATTGGTTTTACAAGATGAAAAAATTCTGGAAAATTATTTCAATACAGTGCAATAAAGTGCACATTACTGAATGTGCACTTTAAAATGGTTATGATTATAAACTTTGTTATATGAAAATGAAGCCTAAGAGAGCCAAATAAATGAAAAAATACTTAGGAACTCGCTAATTTTATGTGCAGGTGAGGGAAAAGGGGAGTCTGTGATGCTGCTCCCATTTCTTACTAGAGCTAGTGGTTTAGTAGAGGAACAGGAACAGTGGCAGGACTGAGAGTATATGAGGTTGTTCTGATATATGCTGAGTTGGATGTATCTTGGGAACCTTGTAACTAACTGACTGAAGGCTCTTCCAGGTAAGAGTGCTTATTTGGGACTAAGTTATTCTACATTTGACCGTCTTCCTCCACGGCTTCCCAATTTCTCAGGACTGACCCTTTGATGGAATATGTAAATGGTTATTCTTGGAACTATGGCTGTTATCCTTCCCTTGATTTTTGTCCTACCCACAAAAAGAACTTTCAAAGCCTCAAACTCATAGCTAGAAGAATAGAATAGCTGCCTGTGTCTCTGAGCACAGTGGGAATACCAGGCAGGGCTATGACTGACTTAGTGCTGATGATTCAGTACTGTAAATTGCCCTCAAGAGAAATCATTCCAGCGATGATCTTATCCCTGTACTTATCCTCAATTTATAGATAAGAAAACAGAAGTCTTGAGAGAGGAAGAGAATGTATTCACTTAGTTTACGTGCTATTTTATTGCTTACTCCATCCAGGGTCTGTGTCAGTGGGCCCACATTTATAAAGTATAGTCAGAGTTGTCATAGATGCCATGGCTTAGTTGGATAAGCTGACACTGCACAAGTAAGTTTGATTTGGGGGTGGGGAGAGTGTTTCAGTATAAACAGTGCCAAGGAGCAGTTTGAGTCACATAATATTTGTTAAACATAAAATAGGTATTGAATCAGTGAATGATGAGCCTGAGCAATGAATGACTTGTCCAGCATTTAGATAACAGACTGTATCTGCCAGAGTGCCCCAAGAAATTAGAAAATCAGTCTTACTTGGTTCCAGGTGAAATTAATGTCAGGAGGGACTAATGTAGTTGTTTTCTTCTTTTTTTTTTTATCTCTTAGGAATCTATGGATTTCCTGAAGTATGTTGTCGAGTAAGTATTGGTTTGTGTTTTCTCTTTGAGGGGTTATAAAGAGGCATTAAGCCACAAACCAGTTAGTTGTTATTAAATGCACATATAAGTTAGTAAGGTTGATTTCCTTGTGGTTGATTTTGTCGAGGCTGATGTAAACAAAGTAATTCAGAATGGACTGTGGAAAGCCTGGATGCCTCTTCTTGGGTGGGGATAAAGAGAATAAAGTATTGCCTCAATGACATGCTGATTCTTTTGCAGCAAACTGAACTTCATGCCCCTGGAGCAGGAAATGCCTGTGCAATTCCAGGTGGTAGAGTTGCCCAGTGGCCACCATTTGTGTAAAGTGAAAGCTCTGAACAAAGGTGATGCCAACTCTGAAGTCACTGTGTACTACCAGGTCAGTTAGCCCCATTGTTCGCCATCTTCATGGCAAACTTTAGGACACTATAGCCTGGTGAAAGTGTCCAAAATACCTAGAAATGAGTTGACCTTGTGACTTTCAAGGCCCTTTTGTTGTTACCTCTGTAGTTTTAAGTTTGGGGCCATTTGTCCTCTTGAAGCATTTGCATTTAAAAATTGCTTGTCAGTAAAATGGATCTTTTTTCAATTACAGTTTATTCATGAACTAACCAGTCATGTATATGAGTAGGTACTATAATGAGTATGATGGAAATCCCTATGTATTCCCCTGACAAAATCCCAAACAGCAAGAAGATATTTGTTAAAAGTACAGTTTTAAAAGAGAGAAGTATAACCTAGCAAAGTAATCAGTATACAGCAAGCATTGACTACCAGAGCCATAAAGGTTTTAAAGCACCTGAGAAAACTTATTATCTCTATTTTATGGACGATAAATCCAAGATTCAGATTACCTCAAATTTAATCCTTTCAGATTCTGTGTTACTCTGGAGGGGAGAGGTGGATAAGGAAGTGCTTTACAGTAGTCTGTATTGGCTCATAGCCTGCTTTAGCCTGTGGTTAGTCCCATTCACTTCTAGTCTCTGAGAACCTTCTCTAAACCTATGCTTGTCCATCCTGATCCCCTGACTTCCCATTGCTGCATGAGTTCAGAAGTATGTATGAGTAAATCACTTCCCTATTAGGCCTTATGAAGACCCCTGGTTTGGGATTTGGGTGGTTTGGCCTTGTTAACTATTTTGTCCTTGTGTTTCTGGCCCTGTGCGAGTCTTACCCTGACATTGTCCTGGTCTGATTGCAGAAGTAAATTCACCTCCCTGATGGCATAGTCATGTCTCTTTAGGGAAGGTTAGTCTTACCCCAGTCTTCCCAATGAGTCCTTTGATTCAAGAGCCACAGTGGTTCTGGAGCTACATTGGTTCATTTTGGTCTCTACCTAGAGGCTCTGTTTCTCTGTAGAGTCTGTCTTACTGGCTGTAGTTTTCTGACCTGTCATCTTCCTAGGTTCTATTAGGTCCCAAGCTCCATAAATGGTACATCCTGGCTCTGGTCAGTCCTGTACCTCTAACTGCTCAAAACCCAGAGACAAGTATTTCTCCCAAGTTCCAAGCAAGATTTCATCATCATGAGACTGTCTGGAGATGCTGTCCTTCAGTCACCTCTTAACATTAACTTCTCATACAAACTGCTTCCTTTAGGAAACCATTTCCCTTCTAACAGCATTTTGAATGGAAATTGATAGGAAATTTTGACTGGTCACTCTTATAGAGGGATGTACAAGTCTCAGCACTGACTAATCACGGTTTATAGGGCACAGAGGCTCTATCCTCTTCCTCTGGTGAAGTGGGTTGAGAAATGAGTCAGAGGATCCTGCAGCCTGACTCCGTGATGCACTAACAAGAACATTCTTGTGTATTGGCCTCCCACCTTCTTTCATTCTTATTTTGCTATTCACACAGCTAGGATGAGGTGCCCCAGTGTGGTTTCTGCTTCTTGGGTATTTTTTATATCAACTGGTTTGCATCCCTGTGTGTACTTGTAGAAGCTATTTATTTTTTTTCTTCATTTGAGGAATAACCCCCCACATATCCTTCATGATCCCCAAATATTTCCTGCTGTCCTCCCTTGATCTATAAATATTTGATTTTAGAATGTGTCTTGTAGGTTCTCTGGGTTCTTCAGGCAGGAGCTAGCAGGCTAGGTATTATTGGACTCACCTCTATGACTACATGCAGTTCTGTCCTAGTACTAGGAGAACAAGTGACCTAACATGATTCCTGTTCTCACAGACCTTCAGGCTAGTGGGAAGGCAGATATGTAAACAAGATTATTGAAGTATGAGTAACTCTTTTTTGGTGAAGAGGAGAGGGGACAGTATCTAAATAAGTAGTTGCCAAGAATAGCTAGGTAATTAAAAAGCCCTATAGCCATTGGTTATTCACTTGGTCTGATCACTTTCTCCTTTCAGTCGGGTACCAGAAGTCTAAGAGAATACACGCTTATGGAGCTGCTTGTGGTAAGTGCATGAAGGAGAGTTGAGTAGTTCAGGAGCTCCTGCCCCACTGAGGCCCAGCCTTTCTGCCTGGGGGCTGGAGTCTTGGGGTGGTCAGAGATTTTTGATTGGAAGGTGAGATGGTATTGAATATTCTCACCAATAGACAAAAGCCTGGGTCATTTAAAACGTCCTAAGGGAGGCCAGACTTTGAAGGTATGTAGGGTACTTTGGGGACAAGAAATAGTTTTTTTTCTGGGAGTTGATGGCCATATTGATGGGTATTACGTTGAATTACAGATGCATATGGAAGAGCCTTGTTTTGACTTCCTTCGAACCAAGCAGACCCTTGGGTAAGTCTGCTGGTGAGGGCACTGAGCTCAAACAAGGATAATGGGACTTATTTTGCACGCTGAGGTTTTATCAGATACCCTGATTTAGCAGCCTGTATAATCTCTTTGGTCCTTCCACGCATAGTGTAATTTTCTAGAATTTGAATTTTGGACTACATGGGTTTTCAGTTGGTCAGATTTCAGGATAAGCAAGAAAAAAGCTAGCTTGACCCCAGTTCAGCAGTGTTGGACAGACACCTTGACCTAAGGTTGAAGTAGCTGCACATACCCTTATGGTCCTCTGAGGACCTCTAGATCTAGCAAGGATAGGATAGGTAGAAACCTTACTCCTTTGTATCTTATGCCTATGAGGGCAGGACCTAGGTGACCACATGAACTCATGTAATTTCTTATTCTGGCTGTAGGTACCATGTCTACCCAACCTGTAGGAATACATCTGGAATTCTAGGATTCTCTGTCACTGTGGGGACTCAGGCAACCAAATACAAGTGAGTAAGGGAAGGGAGTAAAGTGGGCCCAACCTTCTTGTTCTGGACATTGAAGAGTGTGGGTTTAGGCAACTAACTAAGCAAGGGTTCCAATAGTTGCTAGGAGTTGGGGAATACTAGATGGCCTGATCAAGGGTTCCACTGGTCCATAGGAATTGGCTTAAGTCCTGTGATCATTCTTTTGGGTTTGCTAGTGTTTTCTCTTCAGGGAGACCAGAGGGCAGGAAAAGGAAGGCTGCCTGACTTGGCATTCAGGCTGGAAATGAGGTGTAAAGCCTTGATTTGGAATGGCCACACTTAGGTGTGATTCCCAAGAAATTGGGTTGCAGGTTGTGGGTAAGGGTTCTCCCCTCTCCTGATTTAGGGTGGAGTATTGAAGCCTTGGAAAACATTTCAGCCTTTTCTCTAGAAATATGCCTTAGTCTTAGTTCCTTCAACTTCTTCCCGAGACCAAGTCTCTGATAACTTTTCATTCAATATATCTTGTTTCAGCTCTGAAGTTGTTGATAAGAAGATAGAAGAGTTTCTTTCCAGCTTTGAGGAGAAGATTGAGAACCTCACTGAAGATGCGTTCAACACTCAGGTAACTGAGTGAACCAGCCTGATCTTTTGGCTTTTATGATAAGCCTTTAAGAGATCCAGACACCAGTCTTCACAGTGCTTATGTGCTGGTCAGTTTTTGAACTTGTAGCCCTACTTTAATCTGACCTTGTCTCCCTAGCTTCCTTCCTTCTCACCATGCTGGCAGGTCCATCACAAGTTAGGTTTGTTTTGGGGGAACTGGTAAGATACCATGTCTGAGTATGCCTCTTTTTGGTGGGAATAGGTCACAGCTCTGATCAAGCTGAAAGAGTGCGAGGATACCCACCTTGGGGAGGAGGTGGACAGGAACTGGAATGAAGTGGTGACACAGCAGTATCTCTTTGACCGCCTTGCCCATGAGGTAATGATTTTCAGAACAAGACAGCCCTGATGGACTGGTGAGGGTGCCTGATTTTATATATGAGTTCTGGGTCCAGAAATACCAGTGTTACATGGAAGAGAAACTTAGGACACCCATCTTGGCTTGGTTACTTGCCTGTTTTGAGTTTCAGATTTCTCTCTCTAGTACATTAGCTGGCTATGAATAGGATGGTAAAAATTAAACCTCCCTCACCACCAGTTTCAATCAGAGCAGCTACATTTGTGTTGTGTATTGAGTATCACAGTAAGATTTTATGAAGAAAAAAGAGTTCTGCTGAAGATAACTGAGATGCTGTGTCTTCATGAAGATGCAATTTCTCCTATAGATTTTAATGGTTACAAGGACAGGTCTTTTGACAACTTCCAGCTTATAGTAGTAAAACCTACAAAAGAGCTTTGGTTCTGCAATCCAGTACTACCTCTGATATATAACCCTCTGTCTGGCATTACCAAAGGATATTGCCAGAGGCTTCTACGTCATTCCACTTACAAGTTCACCTATTTCAATAGTACACTAGAGACTTGGGTTTCTGGCTCAGGGAATGGTATTTGAGTATAAGAGCTGTTTTGCTTCTGCTAATGTAGATCAAGGCTATGAAATAACAGAGGTGTGGCACTGAGGTTCATCTTTATCCTTTTCTGGAAAGATGGGGGCAAACTAAGTCTGTTAGGCAGGCTTAAGATCTGCCTGGGGGGTTATGTTTAAGAAAAATGATCTGTTTTCTTACACATATTTCTTTCCTATCTTCTCTTCCTCTGTAAGATTGAAGCACTGAAGTCATTCTCAAAATCGGACCTGGTCAACTGGTTCAAGGCACATAGAGGACCAGGAAGTAAAATGCTTAGCGTTCATGTGAGTATGGTTAACTATAGTTCTATCATTTACTGAGTTTGAGTTGTTAGCACAGATTCTAAATAAGTCTTTTGGCCTCTTTCAGGTTGTTGGATATGGGAAGTACGAACTGGAAGAGGATGGCACCCCTTCTGGTGAGGATTCCAACTCTTGTGAAGGGATGCAGCTAGCCTACCTGCCACCCTCTCCTCTCCTGGCAGATTCCACCATCCCCATTAATGATATCAGGGCTTTCACATCAACACTCAGCCTTCTCCCCTACCATAAAATAGTCAAATAAACTGCAGTCTCATTGGCCTGAAGCAATGTGTATTTAAAGATGTGTTTGTATTTTATGGAGTGAGTTACACTACTACTGCCCTAGGGCTTTTATTGACGTAGGGCTTTCACTGAATTTTTGCACTGGTATCATAGAATTTACTTTGTATCCCTCCTCTATTAAGACTAACAAACCCAGGGGTATTGCAGTGGCTGGCAAAGAGAAATTAGTTGGGTGGGCCAAGTATGATCCCAAACACATAATGCAGCAGTTGGGAAGCCCTGGCCTGCATCCTCTCAGGAAATTTCAGTTCTTGAGAGCCCATATGTAACCAATTTGTTACTAGTACCTAAATGCTAGGTACCTGTTTTTTTAAGTGTATTTTTAAATAAAGATAGTTCTGTATTTCCCTTCAGAATAAGCCAGCTGTTGCCTGTGACATTCTTTGTATGTTTTGTTTTAGTGTGGAGTGGGGATCTTTTCTCAAGCCCTTTTGGATGAAAAATGAGGGTCACCTTACTTGAAGAATAGCATGGTGAGGGCTAAAGACAAAGTAAAGGAGGGATGAGGAAAAGGCTGGAACACTTGTTATTTTAAGAGTCCCTGCTCCTGTAGTCAAGGTTACCAAATAATTGGCTTCCAAGTTTAACCATAAAGAAGATAAAAAAAAAGCACATATTTAAAAACGTTGGAAAAATTACTTTATGAAGCCTTAAGAAGCACTGAGTATATAACTGTAATCCAGGTTTAGATACAATTTAATAGTGGTTCAATTCCAAAATAAGTTATTGTAAGTGAAACCATGAACTTTCCTAACACTTGATTTTAATACACTGCTCTAATTTTCTGAAACAATTCTGAGGAACCATTATTTACAAGAGATGGGAGTATTTATGAAAAATTTGTCATCAGGTTTATATGTGTGTGTATATATATATATATGTGTGTGTGTATGTATATATGTATGTATGTATGTCTATATACGTATATATGTATAGAACCCAAGATTATATGAACAGAGGCTGTATATCTTGACAGCAGAACTAGAGTGCAGAGTATGAGTCTTGGGTTTATAAATGCTTTTTAAAGCATGGGGTTTGGAAAAAAAATGTCGTTTCAAAACCTAAAGGTTTTCTCAGGACTGAAGTCAAAACTGTAACTGCCACAGAGGAAAAAAGGGAAGCTTTTCCCGCTTTAATTGTTCATCTACACCGGAAAGTCCAGTATCCCTGAGATAGGAACCACTGCAATAAGAAGGGAGTGATAGGTTCTCCTGAAGGAAGATTGATTGTTGCTTAATTATGGCTACTGCCCCGGTCATCAGGTGTAAACTGCAGTTTCCCAACCTAATGCTTCACAGCACCAAGACGTTTTAGTAATGGTTCATCATAAACCCAGCATTCTCCATCTTCATGGAATAACTGTAAGAGAAAGAGAGAATTCAATGTAAGCTTCCTTTGTACTTTTTGTTTGTTAGCAGTACTAAGGTTTGAATTCAGCTTTGTGCTTGCTAGCCAGGTGCTCTACTGCTTGAGCCACAACTCCAGTCTTCTTTGTACCTTTCTTTTAAAATTATTATTTCATGTCTTCTCCCTGCCCACTGGATGAAATGAGTCTCAGACAGGGACCAGGGAACATCTTATTCATAAATAGTGTTTGCCCACTTCACTTCTTCAATATTTGCTGAGATGAGTTACTGCTCAAGGTACAGGGGGAACTGAAGGAGGTGGGGGCTTACCCTTGTCTCCCACTGAATTTCCTTCTCCTTCCTTTCTCGGGCTTCTGCTCTTTGTCTTTCTTCAAGTCTGTGCTTTGCTTCAGTTGCTGCATCAATGTCTCTGATTTTTAAATTGAAAGTAACATCCTTCCAAAGGCTTAAAAAAAGAGAGAGCAAGAGGAGCTGGCAATCTTGAGAGTGAAACCGTAAGGCCAGCTCTGAATACAGCATAACAAGTATAAATCAAATAGTTTTCAAGTGCTGTACCTCACAGATTAAATCTCCTTAAAGCTCACAACAGGACACTGAACTGAGTTTAAAAAAAAAAAAAAA